CTTTGTGTCATACATTAAAGTAATATCTAATAACGTGAACATTCCCATGTTTTTGTCTCTAGTCTTTTCAGAGACTTTGGCCATAGTAGCAGATGGCTCCACTCTTAAAAATAAATGTGGGGTGAATGCAGGTAAAGTGGGCCGTTTTAGTTTGATTGTACTGTGCTCAATGGGTTTACACTTTCAGAGCATGACAATGGTCTTTAATTAAAGATACACTATTTCTTTAAATGATAAAATGGTTTTGGTTTATGCAATATGACACTGGTGTGTGTGGCCACATCTCAAGGGACGACACCCTTATGGTTAAAGGTAGACATAAGATTTTATTTTTAAAATTCTAAGGTTACTCGCTAAATGCAAACAAATGGGTATATTATTCTGACAGTTCATTTTGTTTACTACAGTTAACGGAATCAAATGCAAAGAGTAAAGTGTTTTAGTGGGTTTTGTTTTTTGGTAAGGTGTTTAAATATTGCTGTCCACTTTGGCTGAATGTATTAGATAAAGTGGGCCAGTAGGATTCAGGTAAAGTTGGTGACCTTTAACCTTCAGTTATTATTCTCAAATTATACTCAAAGGAAAGAAAGAGTAGAAAAGACATGGAATTAAGTTCAATCTGAAGAAAGGATGATAGGAGCAAAAAGATGCAGAATATAACGCTTTAAAATATGGACACAATTGAAGTTCATTGACCGTGTTTAGAGAAAACCGACAGAAAATTTAAATAATTGGTTACCATTTTAAATGTTCCTTTTATTGAATTAGTTAGCCAATTTGTTGTTGCATGTGTTGTAGTTCCATTTTTAATGTTGTGTAGTTCCTTTTCATCCAATTTCGGATATCTGATATTCATATTTCATCAAATTTAATGTCAACATGTTCTAGTTTTGAATTTTACTCATGCATTGAGTGAACTGATGCATATTACTCTACATAGCCTATATCTATATGCTTTTGGGTCTGTTAAATATGCTGTTTAATGTGTTAAATCATGTGTTTTTAAGATCCAGGATCAATTTTGATAAATCAGGGATGGCTCACACTACTTGAAAATAAATTTGTCTGGAGTGCATGATCTCGCAATGTTTATTGGTATATACCTTGAAAATAAAAATGTTATGAAATGTACATGTTAAAGTTGGACAAAGTTAAAAGTAATAAATAAAAGAAATAAACACCTAGGTACTGTATCTAAATTACACATTTAACATAAAGTGTCCCACTTTACCTGCATTCACTCTACTAAAAGGGGATTTTATCATCGATGCTATAGAAGAATTATTTCCTCAGAAATGTTTACTTCTGCCTTCAAAGACAATTTAATAACAGTCCAATTGCATGTGTAATATAGGCTTGTCAGGCTTGGGACAGAGTCTGTAGAAATGGTTTCTCGAAAAAGAACAACTGTCAGATATGCACTTATGTGAAATGAATATCTGCTATAAGAAGTGGTGTCAAGCATGAACTTCACGTGTAATTGAACACTAACTGAGAATTAATGAGTTACAGTTGAGTCACCAAATGGAGAGAAGAGGAATCTATAACAGTATTCTTTTAATAAACACATAACAATGAAGATAATCTAGTAGTGGAGAACACATTGTGCAATGCAAGACAAAGAACTGAACAAACTGAGTGTTATATATACACAGGCAAACAAAGGGAGCTAAATGAAACGCAGGTGAACTTAATTAGTGACTAACAGGCTAACAGACTAGCATGGTTAACTTGTAGCTCCACATGAGTTCCTAAAAGAGCAGCCAAAAGTGTAAAGGAGCATTCTTTACTCCAGTTCAGTCTGCACACGGATAAAGTGTGGTAGTGTTTTTGTGACTGCAATAATCAGGCTCCACACGGATTAAGGACAACTTTTCAGTTATACGGTAATGTACCTTTGCTGTTTTTGGCATGTGTTTTGTCTCTCCATTCTTTACTACTTTAAAGCACAACAAAAAGATTAAACCAATGTACAAAAAACTTTTAGTTTTACATTGCAAAGTGAACTTTTTAAAAGTGCTTGACTCGTTTGTTAAGAAACATACTTCTGAAAGTGTACTGTATGTACACTTCAGTGGCTTTTTATTTCATCAATGTTATGTTCTCTGCAAGTAACCTTTTTTTTTTTTTTTTTTTGTATACTTTCAAGATTTTAAGTACTAGCTACAAGTACACGTTAAATACAAATTAGCACACTTTTTCACAAGGGTACATGGCAATTCAGATATGAATACAAATTGTTTTTCCTTGCAAACTAATCCGGTTGTGCTATTTTACCTAATGCAACTTCCGTTCTCAAAGCTATTGATATTCTATCAAATACTACATTCTTAAACCAAATGACATGATTTCACTGAATCCACTCTCCATTGTAGGCTTTAAAGAGCAACATGGAGAAAATCATCCTAATATTCCCTCTGATATTGCTGGTGCTGCATATACAAGGAGGAGAGTTCTCTAAACGTCCAGTTTGTTTGATTGCCGAAGCTCCACAGCCGGAAGTCGTGGAGTTCAACAACACAATCTATGCCACTTGTGAAGTAACTCCCAGCCCTAATTTGCCACCTTGCCAGCCAAAGATCTTTGGGCAAATCCTCTTCAAGCAGCTCTTCCCCAATGGAGATTTAGAAGTGAAAATCAACCTCCGTGGTTTGCCTGCCATCGATCATCAACCGCGTGCCATGCACATCCATCGGTATGGAGACCTCAGTCAAGGCAGCATCACTGTTGGTCCTCATTACAATCCAAACGGCGTTGACCACCCTCATCATCCTGGAGACCTGGGCAACTTTGCTTCCGAGCAAGGAGTAATAAGGCAGTTCCTGAAGCTCCCAGACGCCAAGCTCTTTGGGCCTTATTCCATTCTGGGACGTGCGGTGGTGGTTCATGAGAAGGAGGATGATCTGGGAATGGGTTCAGATGAGGAGAGTAAACGCAGTGGGAATGCTGGACAGAGAATTGCTTGCGGTGTGATTGGTATTACTACTCCAAGTCTGTGGCAGAAGACTGAACTGCTCCCCAAGAAAAAATGTGGAGGAGGGAACTGAGAGTCCAAGATGAGCGAGTCGGATTTGGTGGAAGAGCAGATTCAAATAGGATAATTATGATTTTCCTTGTGTATTCTGTGTCCTACATTAAAGAATATTTAATACGAACATTCCCATGTTTTTGTCTTTGGTCTTTTCAGAGACTTTTTGGCCATAGCTTCCAATAGTAAATGCACTCTAAAAAGAAATGTTGGGTGAATGCAGGTAAAGTGGGCCGTTTTAGTTTGATTGTACTGTGCTCAATAGGTTTACACTTTCAGAGCATGACAATGTTCTTTAATTAAAGATACACTATCTTTAAATGATAAAATGGCTTTGGTTGATGCAATATGACACTGGTGTGTGTGGCCACATCTCAAGGGAGGACACCCTTATGGTTAAAGGTAGAAAACCCTCTGACATAAGATTTTATTTTCTAAATAAGGTTTCTCACAAATATTGTGACTGTTCCTGGTTTGGTACTACAGTTTCTTATAAGGAGTTTTAATATTGCTGACCCGTTTTGGCTGAATGTGTTCGATAAAGTTGGATTAAACCAGTAGGATTCATGTAAAGTCGGTGTCCTTAAACTTTAAAGGTGAACTAAGTAACTTTTTTTACCTTAACCGAACAGCTTTGGAGTCATTGTAATGTTTATATTACTGATTTCGTGTTGAATGGTGGTCGTCTCGCACCCCCCTGGTGCCTGTGAGCCGCAAAACCACCCTTGCAACTTTGGGCGGGCCGCCGGCCTCAGTGTCAGGAAGTATCGTGTGATATCAGGTCTCGCGAGGTAACGAATTGCTTTACGGCAAAAAACAGATCTGTTAAAATTCTGATAAAATGAGCATCAAACAGAAATAACCCGGCACCGTATACATGTGGTGTTCGAGGCGAACATACAATACAGACTGCCGACAGTTAAACAGGGCACGCGCAGCTCTTAAAGGGGCCATACCTTATTTCCACTCGTTACAGCATCCATCCTACTGAACAGGTACCGGTGTACAGGGGGAGGGGATCCGGCCGTGAGTGCGAGCCATCTCTGCGTGAGTGCTATTCACGACAGTACAAGTACTCCACAGCGACTCTAGGGGTCGCTGTTTTTTTGACAAAAACGGAATTCCTACTCAGTGCTGCTTTAAGTAATAATATTCAAATTCATTAAATAAATTGATGTACTTTGGTTGTTAGTTGACATGTATAATCTACTTTTTTTTTAGAGAACAGAAATGAGTGCCGTTAGAAATTCGAGTCAGAGATGGAAGAAATGAAAGGGAGCTGAAAATAAGACGAGGAATTAAGTTCAATCTGTAGAGTGGAGAATGGATGAGAGGAGCAAAATGTAGATGCAGAACATAACGCTTTAAAATATGGACACAATTTAAGTTTAGACATAATTTGTAATGATGTTACATAGAATTATTTTCCCAAACATTTTTACTTCTGTCTGCAAAGACAATAAGTAACAGTCCAATTGCATGTGTAATATAGGCTTGTCAGGCTTGGGACAGAGTCTGTAGAAATGGTTTCTTGAAAAAGAACAACTTATGTGAGATGAATATCTGCTATAAGAAGTGGTGTCAAGCATGAACTTCACGTGTAATTGAACACTAACTGAGAATTAATGAGTTACAGTTGATTTACCAAATGAAGAGGAGAAGAATCTATGGCAGCAATTCTTTTAATAAACACGTAACAATGAAGCGGATCTTCACTGGAGAACACATTGTGCAATGCAAGACAAAGAACTGAACTAACTGAGTTCTATATATACACAGGCAAACAAAGGGAGCTAAATGAAACGCAGGTGAACTTAATTAGTGACTAACAGGCTAACAGACTATCATGGTTAACTTGTAGCTCCACATGAGTTCCTAAAAGAGCAGCCAAAAGTGTAAAGGAGCATTCTTTACTCCAGTTCAGTCTGCACACGGATAAAGTGTGGTAGTATTTTTGTCACTGTAATATTCATTCTCCACACAGATTAAGGACAACTTTTCAGTTATACGGTAATGTACCTTTGCTGTTTTTGGCATGTGTTTTTTCTCTCCATGCTTGCAAACATTGACTTGATTTAAAACTAAAGTTAAAAGTTTAATAAAAAATATAAATGCTTTGTATTTTATTTGACCTGCCCTTGTGAAAAATAAGTACACTTTAGTATGCTGTACATATTGCAAGAGTACATATTATGGAAACAATTATTTAAAGAATATATTTGCGTACAAGAATGTAATGTTTTTTTTTATACTTAATTGCATGTTTATGCATTTAAATTCTATTTTAAATGCAGTTAGCTGAAACAGTCCTTCGTTTGACTGAAGTACATTTTTATGTGTAATTTCATAATTACTTGTATTGTCTTACAAATCTGGATTAAGTTTACTGCTGAATGTAACGTTACTGATATTTACTGTGCATTTATGGCAAATAAAATTTACATATAAAAATAATATAATTTCCACTTAAACTTGTATGTCATGTATTTAAACATATATATGCAGTGAAACATTTGTAATGATGTTGCAGTTTAAAAGATTTAAAATATTAACTTTATTTTAATTATTGAATAACATACGACAGATCAACTTATAATGTACTATGTTAGTCAGCACTTCAAGTACACTTATTTTGATAGCACAACAAAAAGATTAAAACAATGTTCTTTAGAGAAACTTTTAGTTTTACATTGCAACGTGCACTTTTTAAAAGAGCTCGACGTGTGTGTTAAGAAATATGCTTATGAAAGTGTACTGTATGTACATACCGGTAAGTGGCTTTTTATTTCATCAATGATGTTATGTTCTCTGCAAGTAGACCTATTTTTTTATTATTATACTTTAAAGATTTTAAGTACTACAAGTACATATTCACTACAATTAAGCACACTATCTTTTCACAAGGGTACATGGCAATTAAAAAAAATTTAATAAAATACAATTTATTTTATATGGTTTTCCCTTGCAAAATAATCTGGTTGTGCTATTTTACCTAATGCAACTTCCATTCTCAAAGCTATTGATATTCTATCAAATACTTCATTCTTAAACCAAATGTTATGATTTCACTGAATCCACTCTCCATTGTAGGCTTTAAAGAGCAACATGGAGAAAATCATCCTAATATTCCCTCTGATATTGCTGGTGCTGCATATACAAGGAGGAGAGTTCTCTAAACGTCCAGTTTGTTTGATTGCCGAAGCTCCACAGCCGGAAGTCGTGGAGTTCAACAACACAATCTATGCCACTTGTGAAGTAACTCCCAGCCCTAATTTGCCACCTTGCCAGCCAAAGATCTTTGGGCAAATCCTCTTCAAGCAGCTCTTCCCCAATGGAGATTTAGAAGTGAAAATCAACCTCCGTGGTTTGCCTGCCATCGATCATCAACAGCGTGCCATGCACATCCATCGGTATGGAGACCTCAGTCAAGGCAGCATCACTGTTGGTCCTCATTACAATCCAAACGGCGTTGACCACCCTCATCATCCTGGAGACCTGGGCAACTTTGCTTCCGAGCAAGGAGTAATAAGGCAGTTCCTGAAGCTCCCAGACGCCAAGCTCTTTGGGCCTTATTCCATTCTGGGACGTGCGGTGGTGGTTCATGAGAAGGAGGATGATCTGGGAATGGGTTCAGATGAGGAGAGTAAACGCAGTGGGAATGCTGGACAGAGAATTGCTTGCGGTGTGATTGGTATTACTACTCCAAGTCTGTGGCAGAAGACTGAACTGCTCCCCAAGAAAAAATGTGGAGGAGGGAACTGAGAGTCCAAGATGAGTCGGATATGGTGGAAGGGCAGATTCAAATAGGATAATTATGATTTTCCTTGTGTTTTCTTTGTCTGTGTCCTACATTAAAGCAATATTTAATACCCTGAAATTCTATAGATGTATTGCCATTACAAACACTTTCAATGCCTTTGAATGGTTTCCTGGCATCCAGTAATTCATGTTTTTGTTTTGGTCTTTTTCAGAGACTTTTTGGCCATAGCTTCCAATAGCAAATGCACTCTTAAAAATAAATGTGGGGTGAATGCAGGTAAAGTGGGCCGTTTTAGTTTGATTGTACTGTGCTCAATGGGTTTACACTTTACGAGCAAGACAATGGTCTTTAATTAAAGATACACTATCTTTAAATGATAAAATAGTTTTGGTTGATCCAATATGACACTGGTGTGTGTGGCCACATCTCAAGGGAGGACACCCTCATTGTTAAAGGTAGACAACCTCTCAAATAAGATTTTCTAAATTATAAGGTTTCTCGCTAAATAAACAAATTAGTATATTATTCTGACAGTTTTGTTTGTTACTACAGTTGACAGGGAATCAAAATGCAAATAATAAAATGTTTTAAAGTTGTTTTTTTGTAAGGTGTTTAAATATTGCTGTCCGCTTTGGCTGAATGTATTAGATAAAGTGGGCCAGTAGGATTCAGGTAAAATGGGTGACCTTTAACCTTCAGTTATTATTCTCAAATTATACTCAAAGGAAAGAGCAGAAAATAAGATGAGGAATTCAGTTCAATCTAAAGAAAGGATGAGAGGAGCAAAATGTAGATGCAGAATATAACGCTTTAAAATATGAACCCATTTTTAATATGTTGTAGAGTTTATTTTCATCCATATTCGGATATCTGATATTCAAATTTAATGTCAACACAACATGTTCTATTTGTTTTGAATTTTAAACATGCATTGAGTGAACTGATGAATATTACTCGTCATAGCCTATATCTAGCCTATATTCTTTTTGTTAAATATGCTGTGGAATTTATTTGTTTGCTAATATGGGTTAATAAACCATGTGTTTTTAAGATGCATGATCATTTTTGATAAATCAAGGATGGTTCAACTTGCGTGACCAGCTGGCCCACTTTACTTGAAAAGAAATGTGTCTGGAGTGCATGATCTCAAAATGTTTATTGGTATACCTTGAAAATAACACGTATCAACTTGAAAATATTAAAGCTGGACCTTTAAGTTAACAAATTAAGAAAAGAAAAAAAATCTAGGTATCTAAATTACATTTAACAAAAAGTGTCCCACTTTACCTGCATTCACCCTACTAAAAGTGGATTTTAAAATCAATGCCATAGAATTAATTTCCCAGACATTTTTACTTCTGTCTGCAAAGACAATTTAATAACAGTCCAATTGCATGTGTAATATAGGCTTGTCAGGTTTGGGACAGAGTCTGTAGAAATGGTTTCTTGAAAAAGAACAACTTATGTGAGATGAATATCTGCTATAAGAAGTGGTGTCAAGCATGAACTTCACGTGCAATTGAACACTAACTAAGAATTAATGAGTTACAGTTGATTTACCAAATGGAGAGAAGAGGAATCTATAACAGTATTATTTTAATAAACACATAACAATGAAGATAATCTAGTGGAGAACACATTGTGCAATGCAAGACAAAGAACTGAACAAACTGAGTGTTATGTATACACAGGCAAACAAAGGGAGCTAAATGAAACGCAGGTGAACTTAATTAGTGACTAACAGGCTAACAGACTATCATGGTTAACTTGTAGCTCCACATGAGTTCCTAAAAGAGCAGCCAAAAGTGTGATTGCAAAGGAGCATTCTCTCAACTCCAGTTCAGTCTGCACACGGATAAAGTGTGGTAGTGTTTTTGTGACTGCATAATCAGGTTCAACACGGATTAAGGACAACTTTTCAGTTATACGGTAATGCACCTTTTCTGTTTTTGGCATGTGTTTTGTCTCTCCATTCTTTACTTTAAAGCACAACAAAAAGATTAAACCAATGTACAAAAAACTTTTAGTTTTACATTGCAAAGTGAACTTTTTAAAAGTGCTTGACTCTTTAAGAAACATACTTCTGAAAGTGTACTGTATGTACACTTCAGTGGCTTTTTATTTCATCAGTTATGTTCTCTGCAAGTAGACTTTTCTTTTTTTTGTATACTTTCAAGATTTTAAGTACTAGCTACAAGTACACGTTCAATACAAATTAGCACACTTTTTCACAAGGGTACATGGCAATTCAAATATGAATACAAATTGTTTTCCCTTGCAAACTAATCCGGTTGTGCTATTTTACCTAATGTAACTTCCACTCTCAAAGCTCCCTGCAACAAAGCTTTGACCTTTATTCTATCAAAAATACTTCATTCTTAAACCAAATGGCATGATTTCACTGAATCCACTCTCCATTGTAGGCTTTAAAGAGCAACATGGAGAAAATCATCCTAATATTCCCTCTGATATTGCTGGTGCTGCATATACAAGGAGGAGAGTTCTCTAAACGTCCAGTTTGTTTGATTGCCGAAGCTCCACAGCCGGAAGTCGTGGAGTTCAACAACACAATCTATGCCACTTGTGAAGTAACTCCCAGCCCTAATTTGCCACCTTGCCAGCCAAAGATCTTTGGGCAAATCCTCTTCAAGCAGCTCTTCCCCAATGGAGATTTAGAAGTGAAAATCAACCTCCGTGGTTTGCCTGCCATCGATCATCAACAGCGTGCCATGCACATCCATCGGTATGGAGACCTCAGTCAAGGCAGCATCACTGTTGGTCCTCATTACAATCCAAACGGCGTTGACCACCCTCATCATCCTGGAGACCTGGGCAACTTTGCTTCGGAGCAAGGAGTTATAAGGCAGTTCCTGAAGCTCCCAGACGCCAAGCTCTTTGGGCCTTATTCCATTCTGGGACGTGCGGTGGTGGTTCATGAGAAGGAGGATGATCTGGGAATGGGTTCAGATGAGGAGAGTAAACGCAGTGGGAATGCTGGACAGAGAATTGCTTGCGGTGTGATTGGTATTACTACTCCAAGTCTGTGGCAGAAGACTGAACTGCTCCCCAAGAAAAAATGTGGAGGAGGGAACTGAGAGTCCAAGATGAGTCGTATATGGTGGAAGGGCAGATTCAAATAGGATAATTATGATTTTTCCTTGTGTATACTTTGTCTGTGTCCTACATTAAAGCAATATTTAATACCCTGAAATTCCCTAGATTTATTGCCATTACAAACACTGCTTTAAATGTCTCTTTCAATGTTTTGAATGGTTTCCTGGCATCCAGCAATTCATGTTTTGGTCTTTTCAGAATCATTTTGGACAGGGACATAGCTTGGGAATTCGGGGCCCCTTGAAATCATGTTCCGGGGGGTTATGGGTCCCCCTTGGTTCAAACCACAGGGCGCCCCTAAAGTTGTCACCAACGTTTGCCCTGCTTGCAATGGCCCTGCATGCCAGCTTCTAATAGTAAATGCACTCCTAAAAATAAAGGTACTAAAAGGGGACTTTAGCTGTGATGACATGGAATAACCATATTTGTTTCCCAACAACTTTTCAATGAATTGTTCTTAAAATAACTTTTTTTTTTCCGTGTGACTAACATTTTAATAGTCGAAAGAACTTTTTTTTTTTTTTACTATAAAGAACATTTGTGTCCATTAATGTTAAAGGAACTTTATAAAGGCCAAAGAGCCTTTATTTTTAAAAGTGTAGGGTAAAAACTTTAGTAACCCCAGCAGTACACATCTTGGATGTCTTCCTATATCTGGTAGACCCGTTTCAGGTCATGGATTCTTTACTGTGCAAGCTGAAGAGTCTGAATCAGGTGTGTTTGATAACTGCACATTTTGTATGTCACTATTTGGGGTACTCTAAGACTAAGGAAACTAAAGCCAGGTACACACTGTCTGATTTTCAAAGTCATTAGATCTGTCCTTTTAGTTTCTTGTGTACACAGGTGGTCACACCATACAGAAAGTTTCAATCATAGACTGTAAAAAAAAAAAAAAATGGACATAGTGTCTGTGACGTCACCTGTTGGTTTCTGCAAAACATTTTTTTTATTATTTGCCCACTATACAATGCTGACCTTTCTAATTCTGAATAGGGATGTCCACATCACCGCTACATTAAAGTCGGCATGAAATCAAAATTGACAAATCTTGTTTTTTTACAGGAGAACCTGTCACTCGCATAAGATCTGATCGACCAATAGCAAACCACACACATCCAACCATCCAGTCAACCCCCTTAAGGACAAAATTAAATCCAGCCTTTTTTATTTTATTTTTTCAGAAGCCATTTCACTCTGATATATGTTGCAATAGGGAAGCAAAGACTATCGCAACTTGTGTTTTATGAGTTTAACACACATTTCAAAGTGACAGATACCAGCCACCAGAAGTGACATGACTTCCACTCACTAGTAAATATCAGAAATCCAGAAGTTTTCCTGGCTCGGTTTCATGATTTATGTACTGAACAACCACCGACAGACAAGCTGCCTCAATTCCCAAGGCATAAACAAATCAAACAGAATATAAATAAGGGCATAAAACGCAATGTGCCGTGCGCTTCCTCTTAAAGTCTGTTTGGGACACTGCTCTTGAAGGGAAAACTGCTGAAATAATTGGATGCAATGAATTTCAGAAGGGAGATGCAATGTCTGCTGTGAGATGCTGCCATAGGCTAAGTGAACAGATTTGAATTTAGGATCAGTGCTATGCTTGAGCTAATAATGTTTATGCATAAAGTCTGAATTGGGATTACTCTAGTGTTTGCCTGATATCGTGAACTGAAAAGAATTATAATATTTTACTGTGCGTTGATGTATTCAAAGCCGTGAGCTGTCGGCCTATGTAAGTTCCACATGCCTGATGACAGAGTCACTTCAGCGGCTACTTGCTGGGAACATTTTGCTCCTTAAAATATTGGGAGATATTATAAGCAAAACTGTATTTACTGCTTCCATTACTCGGATCACAGCTCAGGACTAAACTCTAAAGCCTTCTGAGATGTGGTACATTTCTTAAGAAAACTAACTGGAGGGTGTGCAGTTATCCATTTGAAAATGAATAAATTACCCATTTAAATTTGTTTTTGTAAGGAGTGGTATGCAAGAACAATTTATGTTAGTCTAGCATTTGAGCCTTTAGATTTAACCGTATCTATCGGGCAAAAAACATAAATTCAGTCCAATTGTGTCCACATAAATAATGTTAAATGAAAGCCATGTCAATATCCTGGAAAGCATATCTCACTGAGGTTATTAACCCCATGGAAGCATCAGTTATTATTATTTTAGTCATTATAATCAGTTTTAGTTATTTTATTATGTTTAATTTTATTTAAATAAACAAAAATGTTTATGGTTTTAAGTTTTATTAATAACCCTGGTTGTAACACAACTAATTAACATAACATAAAAAAAGACATCAAGTGCAACAGACTTTTCTATGCTCTGGTGTCTTTTTGACCCATCATGAAACATTGGCATTAGCTTATGCCAAATTTGAATAAATTCACAACAGTAGCCTAATCCCCGCTTAATATGCTAAAGTCCCCCTGTGGTGAAAATCAAGCTTTTAATTGTGTGGCATTTTTATTATACTTTAAGACAAACCATGTAGAAATTCATGTCAACACCATTGCTGAGTATTATCTCCTTAAAACTGCAGTGAACCAAAGACAGTCTCAAAATCACTGGTGTTTCTGATGTCACAAGCTACCTTGTAACCAATCACGTCAACGTGTGATGATCAACGAGTGGATCTCTAAGCTGGGTGAATAGAGGCGGGGCTAATTTGCATATTCATAGAACCTCGTATACTAAATGAGGCAAGAGTGTAGAGTTACATTCAAGCTATTATGACATTATTTTTTTTTTTTAAGGAAAAACTTTTAAATATGTAAATTTGATGATCAAAGATGAGTTTTAAGGGATAAAATGATTGACTACATGGGGGACTTTAAAATTCTGAACTAAATAGGCCTATGATAAATGTAAAAAGTATAGCCTAACGTTTTATATTTCACCAGGAAGATGATTATTTACCTGTATATTTTTTTTCTTCAGCAAAAAAAAAAAAAAAAGGATGTGGATGACAAAAGTTCCATCACCACACTTCCATCGAAAGCCATTATTTTCATAATTTATGAGTAAGAACTGAACAGTACTCGCAGGCTGCTCAAAATGCACGCGCTCCTGTAAAATGAATCCCACAAGATTTCATACAACCTCCCTATCACCTGCTTCTGAATATGTTTCTCAATGAATAATTCAACAATGTAGCCTACGTGCGCATCCTCCTGTACAAATGCAGCGTTTCTTGTCTAATAGGACCAAAGAGCAAGAAAAGGCAGCTGGAGAATATGTGTACCAATGGGAAGACAGTGACTGACGACCTGCCATAAGGCAGCAGGGAGATGGCAGCGCACCGTGGAGTCAATCGGTGTGTCGCGTCAAACTTCTGATTTTGGTCCTAGTTAAGAAGTTTTACAGTACTATAGAGTGAAAGGTAGTCAGTGGCAGCAGGGGACTGTGACAGGAGATGGTGGAGACGACAGATTTGCCTCCTACTTGTGGAGAGATCCTACAGTGCATCGTGCTGCACTGTAACACAAGAAGTTTTTGGTTCTTTCTCTTGCTTTTACATTCTATATTCAGTTTACTTGCAACACGGAAGCTGTTTTCTGTGAATGTGCAGAACTTATGATTCAACTAGTAGCTATAGAGGTTATGCATTGACGTTACTTTCCCGCCGGAACACACAGTCGGACTGAGTGGCAAAAGAGCTGCATGCTGCATGACTGGAGTTAATAGGGGAAACTGTGAAAACGCGAGAAAAACAAACGATTATCAGTTTAAACTAAAGGTTGGACTCGATATAGTGTTCCTTACAACTTACCAAAGATCAAGTGATCCATGGATATTGACATGCAGCCAGGAATCCTGTTTCCTGACATTTAAATGTGTGCGTGATTTCAACGCCGGGGAAATACATCATCATATTATCCAGCCCTAAAACTAAGTTTATTTAAAAAAAACATCCAATTATGCAGAATATACGATGATATATTTAATTGATGAGTTGTCATTACAATATAACAATATATAGGGTTTGATTTTACACCTAAGTAATACCCCAACTATTTACCCCTTCAGCATATTGACACAAAATGATATGCTGATTACTGCAAATCCACCTTTCGCTGCCTGGATCAAGTTGTTTCTGTGAATCGCATCGATCCATTTGCTTCTCTGTTCTGTAGCTTTCGTCAGTCTGTAAGAATATACCTCAGATTTCTTGTCAAATCTATTTGTACAGTCCATCGCAAAGCTCTTCGCTTTTAGATGCGTTTTGTGTGTTTTTTGTGGCATTCACGCTGAAAACAAATGAATGCTGCCGCTCAGTCTTTTTGCCACTCAGTGGGCGTAACCACAGTCACTACGGTTGACGGTGACGTCACGCGCATACCCTCTATACCTTATGTAGCCCCGCCCCTTTTCAGCACTGCACTTGTTGTCTTTTGTCTTCTGATTTGTTATGACATCAGCTTCAAACATTCCAATGCTCATGATAACTTTTGTTAACTCTAATGAACTGGTGAAGTGGATTTACTACTCTTCGACAGCGATGCCATAGACATATTGTAGCGAACGGAGAAAATAATACTCACTTAAAGTAACACTATGTAGTTTTTCAACCTTCATAATATATTTCCAAGACCCTTGTGATGGTACATCGACTTACAATAGGTTAAATGACACGTCTCCCATAGCCTGACGTGGTGTGTATCGCTTTTACTTGCACTATGTAACTTCGGGTTTCGGGTAGTAACCCGAGCACAAAAAGAACTACAAAATCCGACTGCTTTACGGCATACGTCACTTCCCCCACCACTGCCTCAAATTGTCTGTGGCCATTGCAGACATCCCAAGTCTCCCTGATGCCCACAAATTAGTTCAAATCTCCCGGAATCTAGAGCGCGCATGCGAGACAGAACATACTGCGCGTGTAACATACATAGCGCGAGCACGGCAGAGAGGGAGAGACCTTGCGAGTGTGCCTCACGAAAGCTAGTCAGCCATAATTAACAGTGTCTCTTTCATTTTTTAATGAAAAATATAATTTGTTATTTTTTCATCCTGCTTCATTATTCTTGGACTAGTGAATGGGTAACCAGATTAACCCCAAACCTGCAGAGACTGTAAGCCTCATAACTCCATTAGCTCTGACTCCCATCTGTTTCCCAAAAGTCCTTCCTAATGCCGCATCAGCTGCCTGGCATCATGCCGCCCGATGTGCCGGTGTACGTGTAATACTGAGAGAGATTAAATAAGAAAAAGCTTCTCTTCTGCAGAACAAGCAGTTCAAACTTTGAGTTTTGATGTATTTGCAGTCAGGAGCAGCTGTCAGCTGAGTCCACTCTGAGGTGTGTGTGCCGCTTCTCAACAAGTATGGATGAATGTGTGTGAAAGGGACAGAAAGCAATAACTTATTCAAGTCTATGTATGTATTAGCACGTAATCCTTATAAGTATTTTAAGTGAGGTCAAAATTAATACGTCTCGTTTCCTGAATTAAATGAGATAAAATACTATAAGAAAATATTTTTTTTTGCAGTGAAACAGACAAAACATTAAAAATCGAGCTGTTTATTTGGCTTCAGTATTGCATACTGCATGTAATCTGGATTGTGTTATGGATTTTTATTCAGCTGCTTTGTATCTGACCAATAAATCACCACATTGTAGACATTTCTAAGGAAAGCGTCTTCAGACCTTCAGTTCCACCTCCTATTATAGAATAGAAGAGTCACTTGGTTCAATCGGCTCTTTCTTTATGGAGGCACCTTCCAAAATATTTTCAAAGTAAGCTCTTTGAATTCCCACAGAGGCTTGAAAGTTGACATTTTCACAGGCGGTTTGGTCAAAAGTAATTGAAGATATTTGCATCGCTGGAGCCAGAGCCAAAGCTGCATCTTCAGCCTCCTCCGCTATCAGGCACAGCTCCCCTAAAACCTCACCCTCGTTCACAGTTGGGCTTCCCTCCATTTCCCGACCGGAAAACGTTTTTGTGCAGACGCCTGTCTTTTTTTCGACAGGACCCTCCTTCACCTCGGTCCCGACCTGCCCATTAGTCTGCCTCACAATGTCTGTCCCACACAAGACGATCTCTTCCCCGTTGTCAGGGGTGACAGGTGTGTCCACCTCCTCTCCGCCTCCATCTGGACAGGGGTGGGAGCCGCGCCACATGTTCGGGAAGCTGTCATTGCCAGCTGTGTCCTGCTCCCATGGCGATGGCCCTCCTCTTCCTGTCCTGTCATCTGAGCCAATCAGGGGGACAAAGAAGATTAATGGACATTGTGTTAGTGCCATGCTAATGGAATGGAGCCCTGCGAGGCAAATGTGTCGTTTACCACAGTAGTGAAGCTCAGTTAAGAATTCATACCATGGTGAGTGCGCTTTGAAAATGGCAGACTATGAGGGCTACAGCGGTTCAATCCAGAGATCACATTAGAGATTTTGTTAGTGGTGCCAGTCAAAGGTGAAGTATGTAGTTTTTGTGACACTAGCGCCACCTAGCGGAATTACAAAAATAAAGCAACTTTGCAAATGCCCCTTTCGCGTATACAGCTCTTACGGGCTCTTAAAGGAATGTTAAACAGTAGGGGTGTAACGGTACATAGAAGTCACGGTTCGGTTCATACCTCGGTTCAGACATCACGGTTCGGTGCGATTTCGGTACAATGGAGGGAAAAGCAAAACAAAAATGCAGAAGGCATTGTATTTTTTAAATAAGTTTTATTATTAAAGGCATAGAACCAGTTTATTTGTAGTGCACTGACAATAGTTTTATATTATTAGTTTATTAATTAAATTAATAAAAAGACCTTGCGATATGTTTGGTAATTGTACCTGAATTAATTTAAAATTAATTTGCTATATTTCAGATCAATATATTTGTTTTCCTTAATTTTAATTAACATTATTAATTAACAATGTAACATTATTCTCATCTGAATTATAAATAATTGATTTCTGTATAAAATAATACTACCATTAAAAACACATTCGATTTTCTTTTTTAATCAATGTAGAATGTGTAAGATTAGTGCTCCGAGGACAAGAAATGAAAACCAATGCAATACGATGAATGTCCAAAAGATGGGACCCAAAGACTGTTTTGAAATGGAGTTGGATAAATATGTTTTGCTTTTAAAACAGTGTGTGTGTGTGTGTGTGATTTTGGTTGGGTGACAGTTGTAGGTTACAGTTTGACAAGAGTTTACGGTGTGACAAAAGCACAATGTTGTGTTTTATTGCGAGTGTACACAACTATAAGTAAATACTTTGCAGGTTTAATGATCTGTATGAACAAAATGACGGAGTATGTTTTTTATGTTTCCACTGTTCGATCGCGTCTCTCTCTCTCTCTCACACAGTTCGATCGCGCCCGCGCCTCCCTCTCTCTCTCTCTCTCACACACACACACACACACGCACACACACACACACACAGTTCGATCGTGCCCACGCATCTCTCTCTCTCTCGCGCACACACACACACACACACACACACACACACACTCCAGCATTGCAATCTTGACATCGCAGCCCATTATGCGGTCACACCAAACGCGAATAGAGCGTCAAATTTGCGTCATGTACCGTTCCACCCCTATTAAACAGGTAAGAATAGGCTACTTTCAATAAGGTCCAACATATTAAGAATACGTTTAGCCAGGTTGCTATGTGTCATTGTCTAGAGCGAACACGAGCATCTCGCTTATAATAAACCCATTCAAAATATCTGCACTGGCCTTTTTTCTTTTTTACATAATGCGCCACAACTGTTTGATGCAGTCTAACTGGATGCATTAAAGGCCCTGTTTACACCTGGTATTTAGATGTGTTTTGGTCGATCGGATCACAAGTAGACGAGTGAGACACAGCCTCGTTTACACCTGGTATTTTCATTTCCTCCAATAGATCGAAAGATCTGAAATATCGGCCATAAAGAAATCAGGACAGAAGTGGTTGAAAGTGGACAAAAGGGACAGATTAAAACACCAGGTGTAACTGGGTACGTGTCTTCCTTGTCTACTTGTGATCCAATAAACTTACATACTTCACCTTTAAGGCCCCCATATTCTGAGACAATATTCAAAGATATTTCTGACAAAGCTGCATGTTTTCAAACTTTTTCATTTACAGAATTTAGGAGTGATAGTATATTAAAAACAATTTAAATCAAATAATTTGAAATGTTAATTACAAAAATGTTTGTGATTACAGGATTAACCTCAGAAATACAATTTTTTTTTGCCGTTTCTACCTGATAAAATATAAATATAAAACAAATATTTTTTGTTTTATTCAAATTATATTCTAACATCGATCTAGCTTACTGCAATGTGCAACAAGTTCTCTCATACCAGCCACAGAGCCAACGCACAGAGTAACGTTATAACATCACTTTCAGCACACTAAAACATATTTTTAATATGAGGAGGTGGATGTTAAATGTAACTTTAGTCATAAAATAAACAAACAACAAAACTAAAGTAGCGGCAGCGGCAGACTGCGGCATATAAGCATGATAAAAACAGCTCTGTAAAATATCCCAGGCTCTCGGTGCTGCCCTGCTTCATGCAACAGTAATGTTAAATAAACTTATAATACATTAGCTCATCCATGAACATGAGTCCCATTGGATTGCTTTCTGTCGGCTGTGGAGGTGAAGACAACAAATCCTGTGATATGTATTTATATTTTCCATATTCATTTTTATTTTAGTTCAAGTTTTAGTAAATCTGCCAGATTTTGACGTTTTTAGTAATTTTTTCTTTTTAAAATATTTTATTTATTTATTTTTCCTAAACTAACATTTTGCCTTGGCAACTAACTGAAATTAATATTTTTTTAAATCATTTCAGTTAATGTTTATTTTATTTCAAGTAACACATTTTTTAGCTAACTATATTAACCCTGGCAAGGACTAAAATATAAGATAAGATAATCATGTAAAATAAGTGTTATGAGACTCTACTATTAAATCACTCACAATCCTTACATAGTGGCAAAGCATGTGTAAGTTTCAAATAGCACACCAGCAAATAAAACACACACAACAAAGGCATCCAGCTGGGAAAAGGAGTGTGACGGCCTATCAGCGATGGCAACAGCTTAGTTCTGCCTCTCCTCTGCATCATTGGTGCCTATTCTGCTGGATTACTGACCCATATTTGAGAGCATTCAGCTAAAAGGTTAAACACTGCATGCAGCTTATTTGTGGGACAACAGAAACGAGAAATACCACTTTACATAGAAGCATCCATATTTATGGGCCAGTCCTGACCGCAAAACACGCCCCAAAAGTTGGTGAATGTCAGCGAACGAGAATTCACTAGCATTTGCCAAATGCCATGACATTTGAAAGGGATTGGGCGTTCATCTGGCCTGACCAATGAGAGTGTGCGTGAAGGATAGGTGTGATAGCAAAGGGACAAGAGGGGTGGGCTGGTCAGAGAATTAGCTAATTACAGCTCTTCAACCTCTTGGCGGGATGATTAGCAAATGGCAGATTTGGTTACACACAATTACACACGCTCACCTGCAGGAGGTCGTGGGTTAGTGGTTTTTTGTGCTTCCGGCTGATGCGGATGGTCAATAGAGCACAGAGGAGTGGCACTCAGAGTGATGGCATCTCTGCCTCCTGTTGAACGCCACAGAGAGGAGCTTGACATCATTTACAGGGTGAAAGGACTGTCTGTTATCAATGCAAACTACCAATAGACAATGAAGAGAATTAATCTCTTTGATAAAACCAGATGTACAACACGCTTAAAAGTGCAGTAAGCGATTTGAAGGTGGATCAGACTGAGCTCCACAGCACACTTGTAGCCAATCAGCAGTAAGGGGCGTGTCCACTCATGATGGGGGAGAAGAGAGAGCGCACAAAAGGGGGATCTGAAGAAGGACTGTAGAGAGAGAGATAGCTGAGAGACATTACAAAAAAGAAAAGGTCAGAGGAATATCACTTTAAAAAGAAGGGTTATGATCAGGCAAGAGCTTTAGGACCCGCGTTAATATTAGAAACGCTTTCCAGCGCTGGAGAGACCGAAGCAGGAAGGCCTGAAAACGGATGCAGAGGTTGTGTTGTTTCTGCTCCATTCGTGAGTAACATTGGTTTTGCTATGTTTCACAGAATAAAGATATGCTGGTGTTGTGATGTTAGCTATAGTAACAGGACAGTTCTGAGTGTCATTGTTTGCCTGAAGCTGGTGTGCTTCTTGTGACCAACAATAAACAACTCTTGCCTTTATACTCTTGTGTACTGTATGGTACAGCTATGATAAAGAGACATTGCATTGTGTATTTGTGCATTTTGGAGGCGGAGCAATGAAGGGAGGGGTGTGTTTGTTTGGGCTGATCTCAAATAGCAACAGTTTCTCAGAAATTACTTACTGCACCTTTAAAGCAATAAAAAACAACAATAATACAGTATAATAATAAATAGTATAATAATAATGTCATTTCATAAAATTAATTAAATGATAAACAAATTACATAATTATTAGTGCACACAATTTGTATTGGATTGTATTGGCTTATGACTGCTATGAGCAGGATGTGTGTCTGCTGTAATGTGTAAAGATGCAATGTGGCATATAGCACAAAAATGTATGGATAGTAAGCCTTTTGTCAAATTAAATTTAAACTTTAACTTTATAATTACTAAAATTATAATATGATTTTAAATACTCTAACAGAGTTCAAAATAAATATATATATATATATATATACACACACAAAAAAATGTACACCGCTCTCCTACACAAAGGGTGACATTTTATAGAGGTACTGTGCATATGGAGACTGAAAAGGTTCAGACTGGCCACATACACTCACACACAGAAAGTGACTACAGCTCCCTCATCTGTCTTCATTAGTACTGGCTGCATGCATCACAGGTTAATGCCATATGTTGCCCACAGGGGACTGAGCACTATATGCTGGTGCCATCATAACACTGGCCAACCAGTGCTTCCATGCTTCCACTGTCTGATCAGTTTAAACACTGCTTTCTAGGGCCACGGTGGTATGAAATATAATAAACAAGAGAGTCGTGCAGTGAATAGGAACCACGGCAGCGTAAAGCAGCACTGAGCCTAAGAGATCCACATGAACATGGATGTAAGCCTTGTTGCCACAAAAAGTATTTGGTTACTCAAGTCATATTTAACACTGCAAAGCATACTGTATCAAATGTAATATGCACATTTCTAAGGACTATTTTCAATTTGATCAAAATGTTGCTGAGAAACCTGTTGCACACAATCTTCTACATGCCATCTGTTGTCTGATTAATAGTTTATACTTTTTTAGCAAGTAAACGGCCTTTCAGTATAATTGTAAAAATGTCCTCTTCAGTGTCTTTTAGCAAGTTTTCTATTAATATTTCAAAATGAACACTTACTGGACTAAAGCAACTTTACTTTGAGTATCCATACATATATAAATATATATATATATTTTTTTTTAGAAAAATCATGTTAAAATGTGAGTATCAAATACGATCCATTAGGCTTTTGTGGAACGTTTATTTGTTCCTATCTCAATCATCATAATCACAATCATAAAAACTGCAGACCTTTGATTATAAAACTAAGCAAATATCATCTTACTAAAACATTTTATTGGAATATATAGAGTGACAACTGATATTTATAAGCATTTTATGCAAGTAGTCTGCTATAATGGTATAAATATTTCATTGATTTACTTTACAAGATAGCAGAATTTAATTTTTTTTGGCCAAAAAGTCTCTGATTAAAATGTAAGTGTTTCTCCTCTTCAAGCTCTATATTTTTTAGATTTTGTCTAAAAGTTTAATGAACTATTGCATTAAAAAAAAAATAAAAAAAATTCTGACTATAATTTAATAAGTCAGGCTTTACAGGGTTAAAAACGTCATTGCATTTAGATAAAAAAATATTAAACCAATAAAAAAAAAATTAACCAGTTTTTAACCAGTCAATGACGTCCGAAACAAGATTTGACTGTATTGACAAACAACACCGAGACATTTTTTCTTCTTTTGTGTCCCACATAAAGTCATACAGGTATGGAACAACATGAGGGTGAATGATGACAAAATGTTCGTTTTTGGGTTGACTATCCCTTTAAGAGTGGTTTGAGTGGCCAAAAACTTTTTGAGCACACTATGTAAATCTCCAGAAATGATCCTAGATTGACAGCAGCCGTGCACCTCCATATGTTCCTCTGGACAACTTGAAGATCTCAAGAGAGGGTTTATTTTTAAGAGGCACTGAAATGATGCTTAAAGCTCAACTTCCTTTGTTTGAAAAGGTCATTGTTGTGTTATGGAGACCGGCTTCTGAGCTAATTAAAAAGCCGGGCTAATTCTGTATGCCGAACAGCATGGAGCTTCACTGCGGCTGCTTCACGGCCCGCTGTGCAAAACAGGATGGATGGATGAGAGGCGATCCCCACCTGGCAGATGCCCATCCATCCATTCATTCACTGCTTGTCCCTGCCTCACACTGGGGAACAAAACCATCTAGTTTTATGGACAAACCGAGCTTTGCGTCACATCGTACGGCTTGAAGTCGCAGAAGTCACTGCAGAAGACTGCTAATTTCCTCTCATGGTGACTTCTGGCACATTTCAAACAAGAAATGATCTCTCTCACTTGTTGTTTTGTCATTGCGATGACAGGTAAAAAGAGTCGTAAGGGGAAAAGGAGTTTAAGTCAGACAGGCTGTTCTGACAGGACTGCAGTAGTCAACAAGGAAACAAGTACAACCTGTCAACTAAACAGACAACAAGAAAAAAAGGACAGGGATGTCTACGATCTGAAAAAAAAAAAACACGTCTTTTATTTTTTCTCTCGAATGCACTCACTATGTCCAAGCTAAGCACACTTTAGCATACTTTTAGAAATATTATTTATTACAGAATTAATATACTTTAAAAGAATATACTTATTTGATAACTGTACGTAAAAGTTCAGACACTTAAATGCATGTTATTTGAAATGAAATGTAATAAGCTAAACTGTAGAGTGCTTTTTTGACCCACTTATATAAGATTTATCTTTATATGCAACTAATCTTTTTAAATATCAAACAATCTAAAATACACTTTAATGTCATTTCTATTGAAACTTATAAGTCATCTATTTTGATATATTTAGAATAACACATTTGTAATGATGAATTTGCAATTTACATTTTAAAATATTAACTTTAAATGTAATATTGAATAACACACTACAGCTCAAAATTATAATCAAGTACTTTACATGTGCTTTAATATTGGAGTCAACACATCAAAATAAGTGTATTTCTTTAAAGCACGACAAAAGCAATCCTTTAAAATGTACTTGAACCTAAAACTTTTAGTTTGGAATTATTAAGTGCACTTTTTGAAAATTGAACTTAAGTAACTTAAATTTTAATTGAACTTAAAATTGAACTTAAGTGAAATGTAGTCTCTTAAACTAAAGTGGCTTTTTATTGCTATCATATTATATCCGCAAGTATATATTTTTTCAAACATACTTTTAACCGGAAATGAATACAATGCTGAATAAAGTGAACCAAAATGTATTTTCGATGCTTCAAAACATTCTAACTAACCCACTGATGTCACATGGACTACTTTGATGATGTCTTTATTTCCTTTCTGGACAAGGACAGTATACCGTACATACATTTTCAATGGAGGGACCGAAAGCTCTCGGACTAAATCTAAAATATCTTAAACTGTGTTCCGAAGATGAACGGAGGTCTTACGGGCTTGGAACGACATGAGGGCGAGTCATTAATGACAATTTTTATTTTTGGGTGAACTAACCCTTTAAGTGCACTTCTTTTTCACAAGTGTCCAATATGTATTATACTGACACCTATTGGCATGGAGACACACACTAAATCAGCTTTTATTAGGCTACTATTAGTGTCCATCTCATGTGAGTGACTTTAAACATTTTGTACCAAAAGTACTATTCATTTCTTTAGAGTTAAAACTTCTTTAATGAGGGGATAAAAATTGCGAGTGCACTTTAAACTTGATTTCCCCCGTTCATTTCTGCAAGGCCACCAACTCTGCCATTCGATCACTTTCAAAGACTGAGTTGTGATCCTCTCTCTCATCCACAAAGTTCCCTAATAATACCACATTCCCCAAATGTGTTTGTAATGTGGGCAATCAGTTTCAGTAATGGATGCTTGTCAGTTTTATGGCGGCAGAATGACAGTCTTATGACATGTGAGCGTGTGATCTGTGCTTCAGTGACAGTGCTTTACTACACTCTTGTGGACGGCGACTGCAAGTACTTCTCTTTTACTAGTGCTTGTCCGCCCATTTTCTACAAAAGTAGGCCAATGTAGACACTTATTAAATGGCCCATAAAAAATTAAATGAGGTCCATGAAACTAAACTAAAATCGTTTCATTAGTGGTGCTTGCCAAGTCAACCATCACTTCAACTATTGCTCATACTTAGGGTTTGGGATTTGCACCAATGTCTAACTGAAAGAATTGTACCCATTAATTTTCTAAGTGACCAGACTTGCAAGTTTTGCCTGGTGAACAATACAAATGGAAGAAACTGGGGCAGGATATAATATACTTTAATGTCATTTCTATAGAATATTGTGTCATGTATTTGTAATTAATTACACATTTGTAATTAAGTTGCAATTTAGTGCATTTAAAGATATATTAACTTTAAATGCAATTTCGAACAACAGTTCGAATTATAATCAAGCACTTTACATGTGCTTTAGTACTTAAGTCAACGCATCAAAAAAATAAAGCATGACAAAATCAACCTCAAATCAAACATGAGTCCCATCTAGAGACTGGAATATCATTATTGCATTTAAGGCTACAATTCTATCCTACAAACACAAAGATTTTAGAGAATTAGATATCCGATAATGGGAGGGTATACGGACAATTAATTCTAGTAACAATAGAACAATATCAACAAATGGAAAATGGAAAGCACAAAAACATGATCAACATGCAAGAAACTCTTACCTGGGAGACTCCAAAGTCCCGAAATTTCCAGAGTTTTCAACTTCCTCTCCAAATCAGCAACTCGGTTTCCCAGAATTCTATAATGCACAATAAATTCACCCTATACAGATTTATGTATGTAATATGAGACATTCTTTCTTTCAACACTTTGTGTGTGAAGCCTGCAGGTAAGATTTTTAAAGGCATATTTCACCCCAAAAATGTAAATCCTATCATCATTTACTCACCCTCAAGTTGTTAGAATTTCTTTCTTCTGTTGAACACAAAAGAAGATATATTGAAGAATGGTTGACCAAACAGTGGATGGACCCCATTGACTTATTTTTCCATACAAAGGAAGTCAATTGGGTCCATCAACTGTTTGGTTAACGACATTCTTCAAAATATCTTCTTTTGTGTTCAGCAGAACAAAGAAATTCATACAGGTTTGGAACAACTTGAGGTTGAGTAAATGATGACAGCATTTTCATTTTGGGGTGAACTATCCCTTTAAATGTAGATTTTTAAAAATACACTGGTAAAACTTTTTTTTTAAGTTGTAAATAAAGATTATTGGAGTACGTTTTACAAGAAAAGATCATGATCAAACAAAATATCATGTTTAATTCAATGTGTTATCGTCTAAAAATTGTGAAATTTACTAGCAAGTGAAAATTGTTTCTACACCAAACCTTTTTCTGTACTGTCAGTGCAAATACAGTTACACACAAACCTGTTGGTCTGTCTTTGGTGTTGAATGATTATGTTCTTCTCATGAATGGTCTCCAGTAAGGCTGTCGCTAAAGACTTCAGGTCTGAGATGGACTGAGGTGTGGCTGGTAAACTGCAACCATTCTCCTCTGACAGCAACCCTTGCACTGCAAACAGCAGGAATAGAGGTGTATTTGAGTGAATAAACGCACACAAGTGTATGCAGTCATTTGATATGCTGTAAAGCAACATTTCTTTGCTTCTAAGCCTTCTAAGAAAAAAGCAATCACATGACTCAAGCACCTTGTTTAGGAGAAAGGACTCCAGTAAGAGCGCTGCTGTTAGACTTGCAGGAGATTTCAGGATTTCTTCTTCGATCCAGAGCGGTCTACAAGATATTCAGGAAGACAGCAATATTGCAAATACAGAGAAATATTACAATATTAATTATAAAATGTTATTATAATAATAAAAATGAAACCATAAAATATTAAAGCCGTGTAAAAGACTTCTCAGCCTTACCTTATATTTCTGTATGTTCCTCTTCAACAGGCTGACCTCCTCTTGAACTTGTTTTAATCTATCATGCAAGTATCTGCAATATGACAAAAGCTTTTGTTGCATGGAAAAACATCTCATCTAAACTGAAAAAAGACAACATACATGTGAACTGTACACCACAACTGCTTACAAAACACATTCAGTCGAAATCTCCAGATTTGTTGTTTTAATTGCTAAAACCTTGCTAAATGTCTAACTAAAACAGGCTTCAGATGGTTTTTAAATGGATTCCAGCTGGTCCTTTCTGGTCACTTACTAGTCATGACTGGTCTAAATGATCAATCAGCTGCTGGCGGGGCTAGTTAGAGACCTTAAACCAGCAGCAAACCACCTACAATGATTCAAAAACCAGTTTGAACAGTTTAATATGATTCTTCACAAGAGAGCCTCAGAAAACTCTAGGCCTCAAGATGACTTGATTTAAAAAAAAGATAAAAAAAAAAAAAAAAGATAAAACAACTCAAAATCAAGCTAATTCTAATTTTAATTCATGCCCTCAATATCTGTAGTAGTTTTTCTTTCTCTCTAGTTTTTCTTTACTCTCTCCAAGATTCTCAAGGACTTTGAAAACCTGGATATACAGTATGAGGAAGTCTAATTTTAAAAATGTGATTTCTAGATGTCATGTAAATTAATAAAACATTTAAATGCCATACGCATTTTTATAAAGAATCAATATTTTTCTAGTTATGCAAAGCTCCAAAATTGTGAGTAAAATTTTTATTTAGAAATCCTTATCCAGCAAATTACATGCGTCTAAAAAAAGTTCAATTTATTGGTTAAAAAAAGTGGGTGAAAATTATTTTTAAATATTCTTTATTTAGTCAATTATAAACATCTAGAAAAGATGTCAAATTCATTAGTTAAGAAGAGAGGGTAAAATTATTATTTTTAAAATCCTTTATCTAGTCATTTATAAACATCAAGAAGTCAAATTAATTTGTTAAGAAGTGTTCTAAACATCTAGAAAAGTCGAATTCATTGTGAGTAAAAATTAAAAAAAAGAAAAAGAAAAAAGAACACATATCCAGTAAATTACAAACACCTGGAAAAGTCAAACAACCCTGAAAAACATTCAGCTATTTAATTTTGGGGAATTCTGTAACTTATTTTAATTATAATTATTTTAGTTACTTATTTTAATCTATGGACACTCTTAGTTACTGTAAAAAAAATAATAATAATATATATGTATATATAATTAAAACCAAACTCCTTTATTACATCAAATGAAACCTAGAAACCTAGCCTGCATGAGTGGGTCATCAAATATTGTTGTGGACAATAGAGGGCCTTGGAGTCATACAAGTTGAGAACCACTGAATTATTAAACATAATGAAGATCTGACAAGCTACAGTAACACTCCCTCACTTGTTCTCCATGCAGAGGGCGTCCAAGTCGATGATGCGCTTCTCCTGGCCTCCAAGGATGTGGTTCAGCTCGAGGTTGAGACGTTCAGCTTTCTCCTTGAACACGGTCCTCTCTGCCTTTATATCCTGCAGTTCGTCGCTCACCGTCTTCAGACTGTGTTCAAGTTCTTCTCTCTTAAAAAACAGTACCAGCAGATATTCGTACAAAGCGCCATATTTGATTTACCGTCATTACAGTGAAAATATATGATTAGCATACAGGAAAGAACTCGAAAAATATGTTTTTTCATTCACTAGAACTGGAGAAGTGCAATAAATAAGTATGGGAATCATATAAAACATAAAGACGCACATGTAGTGCTGCTTTCTCCAGTTGCCTGACCAGATCCTCACGCTCATGAACAGGGAAATGTCTGAACCCGACTTCATCATCCCCAAGCCTCTGTTTTGTGATGGTCATTCTTAACAGCTATGAAGAGAAGATCACAACAGGGATAAGAAAAGGACACATACACTACCGTTCAAAGGTTTTAGATCGTCAGATTTTTAAAATGTTTTTTAAAAGAAGTCTCTTCCGCTCACCAAGGCTGCAAACAGAAACATTTATTATTATTGTCAATATTGAAGACAGTTGTGTAAAAAAAAAATTCAGGATTCTTTGATAAATAAATAAAGTTCAAAAGAACAGCACTTATCGGAAATAGAAAGCTTTTGTAACATTATGCACTACCGTTCAAAAGTTTGGGGTCAGTAAGATGTTTTAATTTTTTTGGAAAGATATGAAAGAAAATAATTTTATTCAGCAAGGATGCATTAAATTTATCAAAAGTGACATTACGGACATTTATAATGCTACAAAATATTTCTATTTCAGAAAAAATTCTTTTCTTTTGTACTCAATTCATTAAAACTTGTATACAACTGTTCCATGACCGTGTTTGATATTGCGTTTCATCTGTGGATTGTTAAGTAGGAAAAAAATCACATGCTTTTCCGGTTACAGAAACGTATTATTATTTTGCGCCAGTTTCCCAGGAAGAGAAGATTTTGTTCTCTTAAACACGTGGGATGGAAACTGTGCTTTATTCGCAAATGTTTTATATGATATTCCAATTTTTCGAGTTTGGATGCAAACATAGCTAATTTAAATAGTTTTATGGGTACCTTATTGTCTCCCTGGGTCTCACTGAGTCTCTGAGTCAGTTCCTTCACCTCTTCAACGAGCTGCTTATTTCTCTCCCTCGAATCCATCAACAATTGAGCCAAATTCACCTGAGAGAAAGGGAAAGACAGAAAAGCAAACAGAAAAAGAAAGTTATGACCTGCAAGGAACTGAAAAGTAAAGTAAAATAAAGTATAAATCAGCTGACCTGATTTCGTTTTTCTGGGGGAAGTGAAGATTCGCCATCCTGAAATACATTATAAAGCATACGGATGAACTATATAGCCAAGAAATCATCACTTTTAAATATAAATAATAATGAATAGTAATCGGTTAGATGACACACAAATAGTTCTCTGTATTTCTTCTTCAAGCTCTGGTGTGTCTCTCTCAGCTGGTTGGCCATCAGTTTGTACTGGTCTCGCTCCTGCTGACAGGTGTCCAGCTCTTTGGACAGAATGAGAAGGCCGTCCTTCTTGCTCTCCAGTTTACGTTTGCATATCAAGAACTGCAGAAACAAGAAGCCAGTGTGGACCTGTACACTACCGGTCAAAAGTTTGGAATGATGTTTTTGAAAACAGTCTCTTATGCTCACCGTTCATTTTTCATCAATTATTTGATCAAAAATACTGTAAAAACAGTCATATTGTGAAATATTATTACAATTCAAAATAACTGTTTTCTATTTGAATATATGTTAAAATTAATATGTGTTAAAATCGTGTTATGGCAAAGCGGAACTTTCAGCAGCCATTACAGTCTTCAGTGTCACATCAGAATCAGGGTTTCCACAAAAATATAAAGCAGCACAACCGTTTTCAAAATTGATAATAATAAGAAAATGTTTCTTGAGCAGCAAATCATCATTTTAGAATGATTTCTGAAGGATCATGTGACACTAAAGACTAGAGTAATGATACTGAAAATTCAGCTTTGCCATCACAGGTATAAATTACATTTTTAAATATATTCAAATAGAAAACAGTTCATTTAAATAGTAATAATATTTCACAATATTACTGTTTTTAACTGTATCTTTGATCAAATAAATACAGCCTTGGTGAGCATAAGAGACGTCTATAAAAAAAATCTTAACTGGTAGTGTACGTGTGGTGAGGGTGAGGCACAAAAATATGTAAAATAGTAGCAACAACACAAACATTATAATGAGGCTTTAAATATTTAATTACCATGCATCAATAGGGCAAGCAGTTAAAAGTTAAATAAATAAGAAATGTGTTTATTTATAAAGCATTTCTTTATAAAGTGCCATAAAAACTAACAAAAGCACTTTAAGTGAGATCAAAACTTTTGTTACATAAAAAACACATTTCATCTAAACTAGAAAACAAGAAAATATATCAGCAAACCAAAACTGTGTATGATCAGATTAAAAAACACATTAAGTCTAACATTCATCATAAATTGCTAAACCGTTATTGAAAATTCTAGCTAAAACCACTGATGGTTTTTACATGGTTTCTAGCTGGTCCTTTGTTGTCACTAATTTCTCATTGCTGGTCTTCTCTAAATTATTATTAGCTGCTGGTCAGACTAGTAAAGCGCTGGTAGTTCACCTTGAATCCACAGCAAACCAGCTAAACCACCTTTTCACCAGTGTTTCTACACCAGGGGTCCATAGTAAACTTCAAAGGGGGCCTTATCATGATGACTAACAATTAACTTATTTAAAATAAGCATTACAATAAGCAAAAACAACTAAAAAAATAAATATATTTCTCATTTTAATTTATCCCCTTCTTTTCTTTAAGGAACCGGGTTCCCATGGTCTTGGAAAACCTGAATATAGGAGGTACGTTACTTTAAAAAAATAATAATTTAAAACAGAACACTTTTTTTGACGTAGTTTATAGATTTTACATGAGTTTTTTAAGTGGGAGGCACTCTTAAACATAGGCAAGATAAAATTCAGACAGTTTTTAACAACTTAAAAGCACATTTGATTATGTATAAAAGCTTGAGTTCAGGTGGTTTTGGCAGCGATGCAGCACCATATGGCAACAGCCATCATCATCATCATCATCATCATCATCACCACCGTGTTTTAGTAGCGCAGCACTCACCTCGCTCACTAAACCTTGCCAGTCACTTTCACTTCTTTTGGACGAGTTCATTTCTTCCAGTGTTTGCCGATAATATTTGATGTTATTATATCTAAGGCTACTAGGCTAGTATTTGCGCGAGCTTTATTGAGAGGCAGAAACTTCACCCTTCCTCTCAGCCACCACTGTTTACTCTGGGTCAGCTGGTGCACAAGATCCGGGTTTGTGAAACACTGAACCAGCATCAGTGTTCAGAATATTAGTGAGGGCGTGGCGAGTAACTGTGAATATCTAGTAGCGAATTTATGAAACAATGAATAATGCAATGCAATAAAAGTGTAGTTTCTTTTTTATTATTATTGTAGAGAGGCATAGTACATATCCAACCAGTAGATGGCGACCACAAAATAATGGAAAGTATTATAAAACCATTTAAGATGAATTGTGATTAACATTTGTTCATTGTTTCAAATTAGCTGAATAGTCATTATATATTGTGTACTGAGTATTTGCATAATATCAGCCGTAGCCTAAAACCTTTTTAAAACCATGTCTTGAATGCACTCCAAGTCGGCAAACGATTAAAAAGCTGCTGTGGTTTCATTAGGTTCTTCAAAATGTCCACTCAACCACTGATTCAAAATAATTTTATTATTATTCATAACTTTTTATAATATTTGTATTATTTATTTAACAATTAATATTTGAATCACAAAACACGACATCATTATTTATCATTATATTATATCATATTACATACGTATATCATTATACCATTTAATTAAATCGCAAATCATGCATGCATGATACATGAGATGTTTTTTGATGGGGAGTTTTTAAAGTACTGTAATGTGCAATCTTCATATCAAGTTGACACAATTTATTTACTTCCTGTTAAATATGCCCAAAGGGTTATCAAAAGGTGTGATTATGATAAATTAATGTATGACATGTTTTTCTGCCAATCACAGGTTAAGGCACTTTTTTTTGTTTTTCGCAGCACTGAGGTTTCATGATCCATGAAGTCAATTGTGTGCAATTAAAAAATATTTTACATTTAATATATATATATATATATATATATATATATATATATATATATATATATATATATATATATATATAAAACAGTTAACTGTTTTTTTTTGTAACTAAGAGAAAACCTAAATATATATATATAAAAGCTTTACTCATTGTCATTTTCCTTTTTTTGTGATCAGTCACTATGTAGAAATCATTGTTGACTGCAAAATTACATTTTATCTCAGATTTAGGTTACAATCATGATGCTGAGTTGATGTCCATGCTGACACTTTCTCTGGCGTTCCATCCTCTCTCCTTAGCAAACAGGTACACACTCCCAAAAAGATCAGGGAATATAGTCATCAGGTTGATTTTCCCAGCATCTGCTTTCCTGTGGAGAGAACAACACACAAACAACGTAGTTACTTTGATTTCTTACAAATGTATGATACTTCTTTCCTTCTGTTGATCATTATTGATCATTTGTTCCACCTTGCATTGTAAACACAGTCACAGCTTGGGTTGTACATTGTTTTTCCATAATTTAACAGTAATTAATTAATTTGTTAATTATTCCTGTAACTCACTGATGCTCATGTAGGTTGCGTATAAAACGCAGCAGGCCCAGTGTGTTCTCAGGATAGGCTTTCTTCTTACCATCCAGTTTCTGGACAATCTCAGATGGCAACTGAGAAAAAAGATATTTTGGCACTTAACAATGAAGCTGCAATGTATTCCACTTCAAATTTACTTCAACTTTAACAATAATAGAAAGGCCAATTGTATGTCTTAATTTGGGCAATAATTGACATTTCGCAGGGAGCTTGATTGACAGGTGATCTGACCAATCATACTTCGCCATCCGCCATTTTGTCCGACAAAGCAGTCAGGAGAGCTGCGTCCTGTCCCAAATGGCGCACTTCATGCAGACTTTCGGTCTCGTGGACTTAAATTGCGCGTGCTCGCTGATTCTACGAGTCCGTAGGCCGTCCCATTGAGCATTTTAACGCTCTGAAGTGTGCTCAACAGCGCCCCCTTTGTGCCCTTGAAGCGGTCTTCCGCGAAGCCCGCATAGATGCAGGCTCCACGCACTTTTAACTACCCAGGAATCCTTGCGAAAGGCCAATCAGACAACGGATGGGAGGAGATTTCGCTCACGGACAATTGTTAACATGGCTGAGGCCCCGTCCACACTACTGCGTTTTCGTTTAAAAACGGAGACCTTTTGCTACGTTTGCACCTCCCGTCCACACTAACGGCAAAAACGGAGACCCAAAACGGAGAAGTTTAGAAACGCTGCCGATCCGTTTTTCGTTTTGAATCTCCGAAGGGCGTTTTAGTGTAGACGGGTCAAAACGGAGGACTTTAGAAATGATGACAAAGTAGAGGCTCACGCTCGGCTCTATGATTGGGTGTCATCAGTCATGGCGTATATCTTTGCTAGCAGCTGTTGTACAAGTAAATTCTGCATTTTACAACGCTATAACTGCCTACATGCGCCGGAGTCAAGCTATTATTTTAAGCGATATTAAGCGATCTGTGACAATTCCTGTGTGCAGCGGCGGCGTTGACCGTACATGGAGCGTCGGTTTGCGGTTAACCCAGAGCATGGTGGGATAATTTTATCAATGAAGTTGTGTTTACACCGGCACGCGCATGCCCAGTGTTGGTGAATGGTCACGTGATCCGCGTTTTCAGTCGTTTTAATGTGGACGGAGATCAATTCTAATACACAGCTAAAACGCTGGTGTGGACGGAGATCGTATTCGTTTTAATTCTCCGTTTCTAAACTAAAACGCAGTAGTGTGGATGGGGCCTGAGAAGAAAATATTTAAGTGTAATTATCATTACAGTTTATACAAACATTATGATCATCGACCAGTGGTTGATGTCTCAAACAGGCTAATAATAGCGAGCTGAATAATACGATCGCATTATGATTCATTAAATAAATAGAACAGAATGTCAGGGCTTTACTGAGTCATATGTAAACACAACAACAATATAGGCAGCATATTTCCCCAAACCTGTAGCTCCTGTCCATAACAACAATCTGATTCTTCCTTTTATTCATGCAGAATAAAATCTGATCTGAGTTAAAAAAATAAAATAAAATAAATCAGACCGTCTTCCTGTTTCCGGCGTGATGATCGAGTCTGTCCCAAAAATACCTCTCAATGCGGCTTCGCGGACTCGCGCTAAGGGCCCTATAGGTCTGCACTACATGACGTCACCGAGGTGTGGACTCTGAGGAAGTCTACAAGTCCGGAGTGTGCCATTTGGGACAGGGCCCTGGTAGATTAACATGGAAGGATTTGAACTTGAAAAACAGAATGTACTGATGCCCTTCTGCGGTTAAAACAACATTCCTTCTTATGTTCATTCATGTTTATTTGATGCTATAAATGAACTAGAAGGAAGAGATGATCGGATCACTAGCAGCTTTAACTGATGCTCTACAGCGATCTGTCACGACACATTAAAGAGCCACAAAACGGTATTTATTGTTTAAATTTATTTTAAAAAATGACCAAATTTAAAAGGTGAGACTTTGTTTAATATGTTTCATATCAAAAGTAACCGAAAAGTAACCTGGTCTGTCCTGTCTGTCAGCGTGTTGTCAGTCTGCGATGTATTTATCACTGCGTGAGAACATGGTGTGTGTGTGTGTGAGCAGCGTAGCTTGTCGGACATAGCGACAGTAACTAAGAGGCAGGTGTCTAAAGCCATTGATTGCTTTTTCACTTTAGGTTGCTATGTCTGATTAAAAAAAAACACCAGTCACAGAAGAATATAAATTATCTTCATTTGTATGTATTCATAAGTTATATGAACTGCATTGAGGTTACACTTACTTTAGATTTCCATTCAGAAAAGCTTTTCCCCTCTGTGTATTTTGCAATGGCATTAAGGAGCTCCGTATCTGCATTACGACAGTTTTCAGCCTCTTTCTCATTTCCCAATATATTCAGATACCGCACTCTCCTGAAACGATTTCAGAAACATTATACAATCAGCTTTATCATATACAGCTGACAGCTCTGTCATCTCTATAGTGTCTCTAATAGTGTCTTTGTGACACCATGTTAAAAGCTATATAAATTGTGATTGAAAACATAGATTGTTTTTAGGCCTAAAATGAATATATTGGGATTAATGGCTCATTGACACTCTGGACATATTTATTCAATTTGATTGCTGTTTTTAACCAGACAAATATCATCAAAATCACAGTATACCTCTTATCAGTCCAGAAGAGGGGGTGTGCAAGGGTTTGCTCCACGGTTGGTCTCTCCTCTGGATTTTCATTGATCATCCACTCGACGAGATCCTTCGCTACTTCATCATCCAGATGTTCCAGTGAGTATCTTCCTCTTAAAATGTTGGACTCACAATCAACATCTTCACCAAATGGATGGTGTCCTCCAGAGAGAATGTAGTACACTAACATCCCAGCAACCTTCAAACAGGTTACAGTTATCACTAATGCAGAATTTTCAGTAAAAACCCGTTGCATTGTTGAAGTCTTTTTTTTTTTTTTTATTGAATGCCGAAAAATATAAAAAATAATATAAATAAAAAACTGCCTTTAGTTTTTCAAAATATTCAGTGGTAGAAAATGAATAAACAGCTTGAATATTTGATTTCTAAGTGTAGGCAAGCATTAAACTCCCCTTTTCGGTGATTGGTTAACCAAAGATCAAACTGTGCCTCCAACAGTTCTTCCTCAGTTTCATGCATCAGAATAATAGTCATCCATTGTTATAGTTGTACGGATTCTCAAGCGATTATTGCAACTACATTTAAACTCTTTCTCATTAAACAATACACTTTGAGTTAAGTGATTATTTTTGAAAACCTTACAGTCTATGTTGAAAACACACCTGAATGTCGGAGCTCCTCTTGTACCCAGTGTTGACCTTCTCCTTTATTGTCTCTTTTGCCTTCCAGCATCTGGTTCCAGCAATTCTTGTTCGTATGGTGGTTTCACCCTGTTTTAGTCGGCGACTTATGCCAAAATCAGCCAATCTAGCTTTTCCATTTATGTCTGTAACAAATGGAAAGTCCACATTATTTCAAGGGGAAAAATATGGGATGACATTTTAATTACACAGATGTTGCAAATCAGGTTTAACTCCTACCAATCAGAACATTCTGGGGTTTGATGTCCCGATGAAGCACTTTGGTTTTCGGTTGGTGTAAAACTTGTAAGCTGCAGAGAACTTCATTCACCAGCTTCTTCAGAACCAAACTTCTCTCAGTGTTATCATCTGGTAAATGCTCTTGGATATATTCCTCCAGTGTGTACTCACAAAGCTGAAGAACAAGGTATCCAAAATGTTCATCTTCTGTAAAGTCCACATATCGCACAATGGAGGGACTATCAAGGTCTGGATGTCGTAGAAATTCCTCCTCATTTTTGAGGTCTTGGTAATTAAACTTATCCATTCGTTTTACAGCCACTTCTGTGCCGTCATCCCTCAAACCAAGAAAAACTTGTGTTCCATCACTTCCCCTAGCAATCAGAAATTCAGGGTTGAGTACAAGAGTAAGACTTCCTGGCTTATATGTCTTGTTATCATCCATTTTAGCTAGCTTCTCAAGCTTGGGCCTCCAGCGATGACTGGTTTGATGCCACCTTCTTGAGTTCTCAGCAGGCGGTGTGAACGGCTGCACACTTGAGTTTGATTCCTCGATGGATTTAACTACAGTGTCTGGAAATGACGGATCCTCTTTATCTTGCAATTCACCTTCTTGTGATCCCACTTCTTGCTGGATTTTTTTCTTCTTTTTCTTCTTCTTCTTCTTCTTCTTCTTGCATGTTGATAGAGCAGCAGTCTCCTCACATAAACTATCCACTGCACTTGCACCTGCTGGATGTCTTAGTGATTCATCAAACTTTTGCAGCTTTTTTTTCATGACTTCATCCATCTCTGTCTCTGCTTTTATAAGTATCATCTCTGGAATGGGAGACAATCCACACAATGCAACAAGTTCAGGAGCAAAGACATTTATATTGGCGAACAGTCCATATGTCCACACTCCAATTAGACTTGAATAATCAGGATGTGTGAGAGGCAATAGACTTTTGCATAACTTCTCATAGACAGAATTGTTTGTACTTAGCTTCTGCTCAGACGTCTTCTGCATCATGACATTGAGTATCTTTAGTATCAGATGATTGACTATTTCTCCTTGTGCATTTCCAAAGCGCTGAAGACTGTTTGTTAGAACTGGCACAAGTTCACTGAATACCTGAGGAGAGATGCTTTCACTGACACACAAAGCAACATTTAAGCAGTTCAGTGCAATCGGACAGTGTTCCTGAGGGATTCTTGGGAAGCGCTTCATGAGTCCCTCAATGTATCTTTCTGCATTGTTTGTGTCTTTTAACCACTTGATGGCGCTCTGATGATATTGCTCTACGCCAAGACCAACTACACCATAATATTGCTCAAAATAAATCAAAGGAACAAAAGGATCCTCTTGAAAGAAATGTTCCTTATAGACTCTGTAAACTTCAGTCTGTTTTTTCGTTCGTACAGCACAAGGAAAAGAGAAAGATATACGTACTTTCTCAGACACTTCACCCTGTGAATATAGATGACAAATCATTCTCTCCACCTTTTCATCAAGTTCTAGATTAACCCCATAGTTCCTTCCGGGTGAAGCTCCAGCTTTTATAAGTGCTTTCACAATGTCTTCACGGTCATGATCAACAGCACACTGCAATGGAGTAAACATGTGTACTCCATGTCCATTTGGGTTAGCTTTTGCTGCAAGTAATCTTTTCACAATACTCAATGGAACTCCAGAAAAAGCAGCATAATGTAGAGGTGTTTGTCCATTTGTTGAGGGTTTGTTAGGATCAGCCGACTCTTTAAGCAGATATGAGCAGATTTCTTCATTTCTGCATATAACTGCTGCTGTTAATGGTGTAACATCATCATTCCAATCTTCAGAAGAGTACAAACCATTAATATCTCTGCCTTTTAATAATTTTGGAAGTCTCTCTGCCCTGTTGTCTATGAAACATTTTATTAGGGGGTCTGTTTTTCTAGGTACTGCTGGAACTACTTGGAACTGGAATGCCATGGATCTTCAAATAAACTGTCAAAAGATGTTAAACACAAATTCAGGCACTGAGTAGCATTATTACTTATTTTCTTATTAATTTACATTGATAATAGACACAGTGTTAATCTTTACATAGTTTTTTAGTCCATTTTTGATTAAATCGTTTTATAAAATGTATAAACATTTTGAAAATGTATAAACATGAAACTGTCTTTGTGAAAACCTTAGCTCCTGAAATAATGCCATAGGAGTACACTGAAGTAGCCTATTATTTTTGGCAGCAGCTATTTGCAAAAAATTTGCACTAAGTGTAAATAGCATTTAGATGCTCGCTGTGAAAATAGCATATTTTCCATTTTCTTAGCGATATGCTATGCTATTTAAACTAAGTGCAAATAGCGATAAATTCTACTTACACTAACTGAAATTAGCAGTATTTTTTCTATGCTTACACCAAGTGAAAATTGCTATAGATTATATTTACACTGTAAAAATAGCAGCCTATTTTCTTTGCAATAAGTAGGCCTACTAAATAGTAGGCTATTAGATAACATTTACAACTCAGTATTTAGTACATTATAAAACAGTTAGCATTATAACATATTGAGAGTAAATTATGTATTTATTATATGAATGTCGCCTTATTGGGACAACAATAAATAGCCTACCTCACACCTACTCCTATCCGATCCGAAACTAGTTGGTAGTTTCTACCAACAATGCGGGATATTTGCACTTAGTGTAAATAGACACTCCGATTACTTTTCCTTTTCCTTTTCCTGGTGTTAAAAATGTTCTTGCTTGTCGGCACCAATAGTCTCGTGGTTTGCGCGCGTCGACACACCGGTATCCGTTGTGCTTCGGGAAACCTCTTAATTTTGTCTCTAATAATATAGATTCTAAAATATAGGCTTAGCCTACACTAGACTAGTTTGCATGTTTTCATAAAAATTAAACTCGGGGATGTGCGGACAGACCTCGAAGAATTGATAGGCTTTCGGTAATGGGTCCTCACTTGAAAGATCTTCACTTAAATTATAAATTAATTTGTTACAATATTATAGTTTTCAGTTTGTGCAATGCACTTCTGAACACACCTGCTGCCCATACGCCGATAACAGTGCGCTCCTCATTCATAAATAGCCAGAAAGATAGCCTATATGAAATTGTTTTAGACTAGGCCTATACATCGAATAGCCACGGATGAAAATGTGACATTTAATAAACTGGTTTGTATGATATTTGCTATGTTCAAATTAAAAGTTGCTAAAAGATATATTAGCCTATCTATGATGTCTGTCTGTTAAAATTACGGCTTTCAAATATAATCTTACTTAAATGGTTATAATTACCTGTTTTATTCCCAGGAATGGCAAAAACTTAAATCAAAAATCAAATGAAAAGAGATTTGTCTAAAAGAGAGACAGACTATCGATATTGATACCTGGAAAATAGGCTAGGCCATAGGCTTCCTGGTTCTTACACACTGTATGCGTCATCTACCGCGCGAACGGGTTATGCAATACTGAAATGTTTGGCAGCTTCCTGTATAATATACACTGTCGACCATGTTACATTACGGTATGCTAGTATAATATGGATAACAATAAAACATCCAAAAATGAACACACTGAAATAATTATATGTGCTTTGTAATTCTTCCCTTGTAATTCTATTTTGTTATGCACCAAATGAGGCAGATGGTAAAAAAAAAACAAGCTTTTGATCAGCCTATAATGTTTATAACGTAAATGAATGCAGGCCATCAGCCAATTTAATCCATTTGTCTTGACCCAGAAATGTTTATTATGGCATAATTCAATGTAATTTTTATAATATCACCTGCATCATTGATGAAACATGCCGGTGGCCCTTCTGAAAGCTAACTATGGGCTGAAATATGTGCCACCAGAAACTGAATTTCAATAATTTATATTTGAATTTGAATTGCTAAACTTGAATCATTGCATTGAAAAACTGAATTTAAATAACATAATTTGAAATTGAATCTGTTCATTTGGAACTGAAGTCCAATAAAATTTGATCCTCACTGATAATTAAACTCTCTATATATCTTCACATTCACTTCTCACAATTCAGATTCAGTTCTCAAATTCAATTTCAATTTACTGAGACAGACATCCGGGTTGAAGGATGAAGGAAGAGCAATCGAGCGCAGATCGATAGATGGCGTTCTCTTACGAGAGGTTGTTTCGTACTGCGTAATATCTTACGCTAGGGGAAAACCTCTTTTCCACGAGATATTGAAGCCCAAAAATTATCCTTAATTTTGAATTAATGTAAAACGCGTTGCGGCAGCATACAGACATAGGCGGCTTGCGTGCCTATTGGCTGTCCTGCGGCAACTGCAGCAGCCTATCGAGAGAGGCCCTTTGGTGAGGGTCCAATGGGGGCGCTTCTCGCCCACTGCGTCACCTTCCCGCCAAAGTAGGCGTGGCCTAGCCCTATAAATATGGCTGATATCACTGATTTTTCATCTCTTCAACGTAGCTCACGTAGCTCAGAGAGGCCCTTTGGTGACGGTCCAATGGGGGCGCTTCTCGCCCACTGCGTCACCTTCCCGCCAAAGTAGGCGTGGCCTAGCCCTATAAATATGGCTGATATCACTGATTTTTCATCTCTTCAACGTAGCTCACGCAGCGTTGGATCCGGAGTGAGAAGCCGCGCCGTTGGAAAAAGCCTTCTGCAGGACGAGCCATTGCATCTGAAGCTGCTGGCCTTCACTTCGACGCCTTCAGTTGCCGTTCCTGCTACGCTACCCGGCGTACTATATCCTTTTACACTCTGCTAAGTGTGTGTTCGCCGCCGCGACTCACCTTTTCTAAAAGCTAAAGATGTCTTTTTAAAGATGCCATCATCCTGTGGCTCTTGCCGAGCCCCACTTAGCGACGGGGACCGCCATGTGATTTGCGTTTCCTACCTGGGAGAGGATCATGCAGCTCTCGCGCTCGCTAACGGCGGATGCCCTCACTGCGAGCTATTGCCTATGGTGACTGAGGACTCGCCTGCCATTCTTCTCCGAGACTGCACCACCACCCGCGCCGTAAGAAGCACCGCACTCAACGGGTCCCTGAGCCTTCTCCAGCCCGCGAATGCTCGCCGGTTCGCCCGCCAGCTTCGCTCGGCTCACTCACCGACAGACAGCGGCCGCCGTCCGTCGCCGCTTCCGTTGCCGGTGACGACGAGCCAGCCTTGTCTGCAGAGGAGGCCAGCTGCTCTCTACTAGCGTCGGACAGCGAGGATTGGGCGAGCTCTGTGGACTAGAGATGTTCCGATACCCTTTTTCCCTTCCCGATACCTGGACTCAGGGTATCGGCCGATACCAAGTACTGATCCGATACCTGGGTCTGTACAGTATCTATACTGTATGAATTGATAGAATTATTTTATGGTGTGCTTCAGACTTATCCCTTAATTAAACATGAACAAATACATACAGTGAACTAGATTATTTTTATTATCTGACATACATTTCACAGCAATATATTATTTATCTTTCTTAAGTGAAAAATAACTTAAAATGCAGCCACACATCTAATACTGTAAACTGAAAAAAGGTATTTTAGATTTACAATATATAACTGTATAAAAAAAGTGCAACAAATAAATCTAGGAATCTAAAAAAATGATATATGAATAATATAAGAAAATTATCTCTTTATAATTTAAGGTCCATAAACAGTTTTGTTAAATAAACGGCATTTCAGTTTTGACATCGGCTGGTCATCCAGAATAATAAACTTAATAACTTACATGTTGTCGGTTACATTTATTGCTCGTTGGCTGTCTTTTGAAAACATTTCTCTTCGTTTGAATGAAGCTTTCAGAGATAGTTGATTCTGGCACGGCTCATCCTTCTCTGCCCTTGCCTTTGTGTAATCGTGTTCTGCGGGGTTACTCGGTGTTACTTGAAGTTGCCAATACTTGTTCCACCCCTCGAAATTGCAGTATGGCATATGAGACATGTCGCCGTTTTACTAGCTGGTTGTCCAGTCTGAAAAACTGCCAAACTGCGGACATACTGCAGGGCGCGCGCTCGTTTTCTTCTTCGCTGCTCTAAACAGTGGTTGCTTGTGTGGCAACAGCACAACTTCCTGTGTTGCCACAAGCAACCACTGTTTAGAGCAGCGAAGAAGAATTGAGCTCCGATTTGCAGCGTTACGCAAAGCTAGCGTGCATAACTAGTTATTGTTTAAGAAAATGGTATCGGATCGGTACGCGGATAGAAGTACTCGCCGATACCGATGGCAGAATTTTTATTGGTATCGGCGGCATTTCCGATACTAGTATCGGAATCGGAACAACTCTACTGTGGACCTCCCCTCCTCCGCCCGTGGACCGTCAGGTAAACGAGCCAGCATCGAGTCGGAGCTGATGCGTCTACTCTCGCAGGCCGTGGCGAGCCTTGGCCTCAAATGGGAGGCGCCCGCGCAGCTTGCGCGCAACCGACTGGATGGGTGCTTCCTTCAAGGGGGCCGCGCCCCACCGCCTTCCAGACCCGCCCCCTTTCTTCCTGAGCTTCACGAAGAGGTCGCGAAATCCTGGAACGCCCCCTTCTCAGCCCGAGTGTGTTCCTCTGTCTCTGCAGCATTCTCCGTGGTGGACGGTGCGAAAGACAGAGGTTACCTCTCGCTCCCCCCCGTGGAAGAAGCCGTAGCAGCCCATCTTTGCCCTCCCTCTGCTGGACGGCGAGCTAAGACGGCGCTACCATCTAAGGCTTGCCGCACTACTTCAGCCATGCACTCCCGCGCTTACACCGCCGCTGGGCAGGCTGTATCGGCACTCCACTTGATGGTCATACTGCAGATACTCCATGCCGACCTTCTCCGAAAACTGGACGAGGAAGGCCCAGGTGCTATCAACGTGCCGGATTTACAGAGCGCTACAGACCTGGCTCTTCGCGCCGCGAAATCTGCTGCACAGGCTATGAGGCGGACTATGGCTTCTCTCACTGTCGCCGAGAGACATCTATGGTTGACGCTGTCGTAAATGCCGGATACGGAGTGCTCTGTGTTCCTCAA